ATTGCTCCTAAGGCAACAATCAGAGTTCTTCAAACATATTTACACCCAAGATGGTCATTTCAGCATATATTGCAGTAGCCAAACTTGGTAAATCATTTAAATGTTCAACACAGGGAATTAACAAAAAAAGTATAATATATCCTTACTAGAGGCTACAATAATAAAGTTATTAAAATCATGTCGTAGGCGATAATGACACTGAATGATTTTCTAGATATAGTGTATTATGAAAAGGGCAGGTTACGTGACCCTGTTTTCTACAGAATTTCTGAAGAAATTTTCCAGAACATTTCTGTATATAATACTATCCTAATTTATGTATATATTTACACCAGTGCTGCTCAGACAGCAATGCCAGTGCACCCGCCCATGGCAGATCCCATCAGGCACTGGACTGCTAAAGGAAGTCATTAACATGTAGCTGCCTTTGTTAATTCTTAGAATCGAGGCTGGCGAGTCCTTCAGAATTCACCTAGCTCGAGTGGGTGGGGGTGACGCTGCCTGAGGGTCCCAGAGCAAAGGCATCTGCATAGCCAGGACCAGAACTTATTAAAAAGCAGCAATTCTCATGGAGCCACTGCCAATTTCCCAACTTCCAAGGTCTGCCTTTTGATCTGAAGATTGGCCCAGTGATAGCTGTCATCCTCCCTTTGGCCAGAAGAGGGCAGACACTGGCCATCGATGGAGGTGGAGAGCTGGCAGATACTTTAAGGCTGAAATAACATTTCCCAATAAGGTCATTGTGCTCTATCTGATGAGAGCTGAAGCTCAAAACAAAACCCTTGACGTTTCTGCTGCAAATCTGCTACTTAAAAGGCAGTGAGGTCCGAAGACTGAGGATCTCTTCTTAGCTCCAACTTTGTCCCTTCACCTCTCTGAGCCCAATCTTCATTATGTGAAGCAGAGTCCCTCCTGTGTGACTATGAGGTGCTATTAGGGGGGAAATATGTAAATTAGAAAGTTCCATATTACAAAACACATATGCACAGTAAATGGGATCTAATACAATGTTGTGTGTGTATGCATGTGTGTGTGTGTGTGTGTGTGTGTGTGTGTGTGTGTGTGTGTGTAGAGCTGGACACAGGAGAGAGGTCCCGGCCCTGGGAGGCTTTTCTCAGATGAATATATATATCAGTTCTCAAGCAATTAAAACCAACCCATTTTGCACTTGGGGAAAATTTAACTACCTTTATTTACATTACAAACGGTGCTTATCTTAAAAGTTGCTTTACCTATTGACTGTGTGAGAAGAGAGTGAAATATCACAGGGATACATGTAAAGTCCTATGGTTAAGCTGAAAATGTTCCTGAATATAAAGGAAGGTATTGGTAATACTCATTTTTAAAACTCAAAGTGCTTGAGTGGGTATACATATCATATGTGGTCACAAGAAGCAAAAATGTGTAAGATGTGGATATTTTTTTAAACGTGGTTTCATTTTCTTAGGACGGGGAGCTCTGGTATTATTTTCACACCCATCTGTGACAGCCGAAGTGGAAGTGCAGGGTGAGTACCAGACTTTGGAACAATGAGAACCTACAGTGCCGTTGCCAGGCAAGCAGTCAGTCATGAAGGAACTGTGTCTGGAGGAGGCGGGTGAGGAACTGAGCTGGGAGCCTGGAGGAGAGGGGCCCTGAGTGGACGGGATCTGTAGGGAGATGTTCAATCAGAACAGGAGGGTCAAATTCACAGGCAGGCCTGTTCTCGTTGCGGAAGGACCTTCTCAGCAACCAGAGAAAAGCGCATGCTCAGAGTCAGGAAGCTCCGGACATTCAGAGGGTTCAAGGAGCGCCCGGAAGACCCCTCTGAAGTCAGGAGAAAAGGCAGTAGGTGGTCTCAGAAACCAAGTCGTCCCTATACAATGAAATCAGTCACATATCAACACGTGATAGGTGAGAGCAAGCTTACAGGTGTCAGTGAGCAAGCTTCTGGGTTCCGCTAGCACCACAGGGTGGGAGGGTCTTGAAACACAGGGGCAAAGGTATAGACGCGTGAAAGTCAGATGCACCAACATGTTGAGAGAGAGAGAGAGAGAGAGAGAGAGAGAGAGAAACATTATCTATTGGCTGCCTCCTACACACCCCCTACTGGTGATTGAGTCCACAACCCAGGCATGTGCCTTGTTGGGAAATCAAACCAGTGAGTGACCTCTTGGTTCATGGGTAAACGCTCAACCACTGAGCAACACTGGCCGAGCAACAACCTTTCTCCTTTTGACCTAAAATTTCCTCTCCAACATCCATCAGTTATTTCTCTCTCATCTCAGGATGAACATGTCCTTTCACTCTTTCAAAATGAACACATCAACTCGTGTCCTAGATCCCAAAGTCACTAATCTTCCCTGGGGCTTATGTTATCTCATCATCCTTTTGACTTGTTGGCTGGCTCTCACCCCTCAGGTTCACCAACTCAGTCCAGTTCTCTCCCCAAACTAATATATGCAAGCCTTTGGCTCGTCCAATAACCAACCACAACCCTACCTCCTTCCTTCCTATAACGACTGCCATTGACAGCTCCACCTCTGACTTCTGGCCTTGCCACTTCAGAAGGCCAGGTTCAAACCACCAAATCCAACAGGCTTTATATTCAATCCTTAAATACTGTTGAATCTCTCAGGATATCTCATCTTTCCCCCATAAATCCGGTTCTTTCTTTGGCTTCTTTAACACTTCACGTTATCCTGAGTAATCTACCTCATTTTCTTCCTCTCACCTATTGAATGTGGGCAGGCCTGGTTGCCGGCTCCTGGTTATCTTCCCGGAGGCTTTAATGAGCTGCCCAGCTGCACTTCTTCTCAGGGGTAAAGGCTGCCAAACCTCCTGCCCCCGAGTGGTCCGCTCAACCTCTCATTTCTAATTGTCAGCTTGTCAATTCCTCCAGAGGATGGCTTTTAAAACCCAACCCAGACAAATCCAAACCTATCATCTCGCTCCTTGTGGTAGATCTTTTCTGATTGTTTGCCCATGCCTAAATGGATTCGCCACCATCCTTTGGAAACTGACCCCAATCCACAGGGTTCGCTGCTCAAAGCCACTTGGCTTCTTGATCACAGTTGATTGCCACAGGGACAGGCACCTGCTTGAGGCGGAGCCACTGAGCCTCCCCTAGTCTTGAAGTGAGAGAGACAAAGACCTGGGCTAATTATAAATAGCACCGTGCAGGGAAAGGCCCCTGAGTCCCCGGTGCAGGGGTCTCTTAGAACTGTCCCAGTTCCCAAGCTCTCTGGTCATGCAACTGTCCCATGGATTCATGAGATATTCTAGAAGAAGTCTAGTGAGGCCCCTTTTTTTTTGGCAAAGCTTGCTTGAGTTGGCTTTTGCTACTTATAGACCTTTAAGTAACACAACCACCTACACTTCTCCAGGAATCTCTAATTCTGTCGGGGCCCCGCCACTCCCTTCCCAGCCAGGCTTGAAACTTGAGTCTGCCCTGGCTTTTCCTGAGGCCCACATTCAGAATACTCAAGCCCTGCCAGCTTTACCTCCTAAACAAGTCCCCTCCTCTCCACATCCTGGAGTATTGCCCTAGGTGCGGGCCTGTGGTCTCTTTGCTGGGCGTGTCCAGCCTCCATAGCCTCCAGTGGTAGGTAATTCAGAGCATATCGCTTCTCTAAAACCCAAAGGCTGTCTTATGGCTCTCACCACAGCATGACGACCCTTCTCCTCCCGCCTCCCAGGTGCACAGGTTTACCTCCTGCTATTTCCACTCCTGGTGCCAGGCAGGCCTGACGAGCAGACTAATCTAAACAGCCTCCATCTTCACTTCCTCCATGATTCCTGTACTTCTGGTCCCTTTGCCTTTTGGCCCTGGTAAAATCTTTTTTTTTTTTTTTTTTTTAAAGGTCTATCTCCCCATTTCTTTGGGAGAACCTCTCCCTGCTCCCTCTGGGACTGGAGATCCCTGGCCATGTTTTAAGTTCATGTTCATCTCCCCTTCCAGATGGGGAGGCATGGGCTACCTTTAATTCCTGGCACCACCGTGGATGATCAGAAGTGGATGTGGAGTGAATTCATTCAAACACCATCAGATGTTTACCAGGATAGGAAAAGGCCCGAGAGAACAGCCAAAGCCAAAGTATTTCCTTCTGCCCTTGCTTGCTGTGCTTTTAGCCAAAATCAGGGGATGTGTTGGCGGAGACGGGTGGTGGGTGCTGAGTGGATGAATTAGAATGTGACCCAGGCTTCTTGGCATCCGTGTCTGAAAAGCAGGACGCTCCTGGAGTTGTTTTTGATTCCAGGAAGAGCACATTCATATGGCCTTTGCGTTTAAAATTCATTTCCATATACGTTACCTGACTTACTAGGTGCTGCAACCCAGCGAAGCAGTCAATGTTTATGGAGGCCAGTTGGTGGGGGAGGAGGCATCAACAAGGTCACACTCATAAAGGGCAGACTTTCCATGGGAGACTGCCTTCTCACCGCAGATCCAGGCTCTTTCCCTCTGTTATACCGTTGCCTGCCTCTCCAGTGGCAGAGTTAAAACACCATCAAACAGGCTATTCATGGAAGTGGGAATAGGTGTGTGTGGGGGTAATCTGCTTCTAAATCATGTCACATTTTCCCCACCCTTGTTGCCAGACATGACAGCGAGGCAGGTTAACCACCAGTACTAAAGGTTATCCTATTTCCAAAAACAGATACTACCCCCAAACACTTTGATTTGATGGCAAAATACTTTAATTTCTCATAAAGCCACTTCCCCCACCCCGTGGACTTGACATGGAAAAGAATCTGCATGCGTGTGTCCTGGCTGAGCAGGAGGATGACATGTGCATGTACATATATGCATATACATACAGGTTTATTTCATTGATCCGATCTACACTTCTGGGGGCTGCTTGAAGCATCTTATCAAAAGGAAACACATTGTAAGCAGGAGGTAAAAAAAGCTTTTCAGACCCAACCCACATCCAACAGATCGGTCAGTACTGGATACACAGATTTGGTTCCAAAGCTGAAATAGACCGTCTCACGAAATTCAGTTATTTTATAGTATGCCATAAAAAAGAGGGACACATGTCTATGGACAACTTAAATATTAACTCAACAGGCTACCTGGTGATATAAATAGGAAAAAAAAAGTGGTCACGAACTAGGAGTGAGAAACTATGACATCAGCCTCTCTTGGACTGCAAAGGATGTTAAAAAACCTATCCTAGAATCTAAAACAGGAAAAGAAGTCAAATATTCCACTCCATATAGACCCCATCTGGCCCACATCATCCCCCCAAGGAGTATACCCCCAACACATGAGGTTTACTAACCACCTGCTACAGATGTTACTACATCACTAATTAACAATGATCACAGAAAATGTGTCATACCAGAGGTTTTGTTATACACAAAGCCTTAGTGGCTGTGGAATCTTCCCCCAAGAGCTGTGGTCAGAAGGTAAAGTGACAACGTCCACACCACTGTTCCAAGAAACCACAGCTAAGACACGGGAGCAGTGGAGGGCTGGTTCGTGCAGTGAGCTCTCGCTGGCGTGCTCCACACTCCAGTCAGAAGGGCTGGGATGTGGGGAACAGTCCCAGCCAGGTGCTGCCGCCATCTATTCCTGGGCCTCCTTGCGGGTCAACTTGTAGATCTCGGTGGGTCCGTCCACGTGGGTGATAGTGGTGGTGAGCTGGAGTTCTTCCCCATTGTGGACCCTCAGATCACCTGAAACAGGGGTTTGGGGGTGAGACGTGTTGGAGGAGGAAGGAGAAGAAAGCTGGTTCATCTCTGTAACCACCGCCCTTTCACATTCTGAGCTGACAGCGAAAACCTGGGCACGAACACCAGGGCTCACGCCCAACCTTTTCACTCAAACTTGGCAGTAATTTCATCCACTTTTGTCTCCCAGAGAAGAGAGATGAATGAGAGATGAGTCAGCTTACTGCTTATGTAATTTGTAGTCATTACTAACATTAATGAGAGCTTACTTGGTGCCTGACGCTATTCTCAGTGCTTTATCCTTGATCGTATTTATCCTCACAAGAGCCCTCGAGGCTGATCATGCCAGCGTCACAGATGAGGAAACTGGGGTGGAGGGAAGGTGACTGCCCCAGGTGACGGAACAGACACACAGCAGGGCCAGGAGCTGGGCCGAGGAAGGAAGGCTGTGCTGTGGCCTAAGCCTCCCTGCGATGGGAAGGCAGGCACACACACCCGTGTTGTGAATAATTGACAAAGTGGCTATGCCATGTGAAGGCAAACAAGACCTGCCTATTACCAACCGATTGGGCAGGGTACTACGTATAGTACTTTTAAGAACAATTAGGAGTTTTCTTCTCAAGGAAAAAGGACGAGAAATACACTGAATTTTCTGCTACCCCCAGGATTCTGTACACAACACCATTGTTTTGGTCACCCCACACAGTGGCCCCGCAGGGTGCTTGGTCAAAGCTAGTTCTTAATTTGCATATCTGGGAGAGCCATCAAAAGTTCAAAGCCAGTTTCAGACTCTGCATGTCTGAAAGTCCTCAGCATTTCAAAGAGTCCTGACCACCCCAGGAAACCGCTTAGCACCTCCAAGTGTTTACCCAAGGAATCCCTTTCATTGAAGACTTCTTAGAAATAGATGCCAGGGTGCAATTTCTTCAGGTTTTGAACCAAAGATGGGAATTCTTTAAGCTTAAAATGTGATTCCAGTTAGCAGGCCCTAGAAAATGTATCTGATCCTACAGAACATTTGAAGAAACAGCCAAAATTACTTGGGCTTCTTTATTTCACAAGTACCTATATTACAGGATGTGCCTGACACTGTGCTAAACACTTTACAAATATCAATACACTTAATCTTCGTTCCAGTCCTTTGACAGGGGTGCTGTTGTCATCATTCCCATTCTGCTGATGAAGGAACTGAGGCACAGACAGGCTAAGCACCTTGCCCAAGGCCCGAGTTGATACATAGAGATTCAAGGGGGAGCTATGAGACTCCAGCATCCAAGTGCTCAACCTTTAGGCTATGCTGACACTGTAAATATTCAAGTTTCCAACAGCCAGTGAGACTGCCAGCAAAGCATAAATTCACATGCAATGTGTTACAGTCAGAAATACATATACACAGTAATTTGGATAGATGGTTCAGGACGTTCATTTTGCTCTTTTGTGTCTGATGAAAGAGAATTTATAGCACCAAGTATCAGTGCACTGACAGTAAGGAGAGCTGTTACCTATGAGCATTTACCATATGCACCAGTAGGGGCTTACTGTGTTTCCTTATAAGATGTGAAGACACTGCGGCTCAGGTAGGCAATTAATTTCTCTATGGGATGCAGCTTGCTCCCAGCAGAGCTAGGATGAGGACCCGGATCTACGCACCTCTGGCTAGTGGATCTCTGATTCACCTGTGGTTGTACTGTACCTCAAAGGCCAACTCTTTCCCTGCAGGGAATGGATGTGGGAAGGTGGCGGTAACATGGCAGGAGTGGGGATCCCTCCATTTGTCTCCAAATTCCAGGGACCCCCACTCCTGCCAAGGTCTCACTCCATCTGTTCTTCTCCCTCTCTTGGCTTCTGCGGCACCATCACAAACACACTCGAAGACTCTTCCCTTTCAAGACCAAAAAAACCCTTCAAAAAATGTGATGTGTTTCTTACTGAGGGAGGAGAGGGAAGAATAAAAGGAAAAAGAATAAATGATGGAAGGAAGAGAATTCTTCGGTTTGCAATATGTCTCTTTCTCTGGTTATGATGTCAGTTCATCTCCGCTAATTAATAAGACAAAGGCTTCTTTCTTTCTAACCTCTGTGAAATGAGGCTGATCTCTGGCACAGGATTTCATCTCAAAGGACTACTGATGGGCCCATATTTTTGGTATCATGGCCAGAGGTAGCTGCTGCTTAATGCTAACTGCCTGACATGCATACTACGGACCCAGAAACCTACATAAATGGAACTATAATGACATCATGGTAAGCACAGCTTTTAAAGACAGGCAGCTTTTTTTAAGTGACAATTATTTGTGTATCTGTGACTTCTTTAGTAAAAAGAAGAATAATTCTAAGATTGTTTCACAGAATCTGGAAGAGATCAGTGGTCTTCTAATATTAATAAGGGCCACCTAATTCTTTCCTCACAACCACTAAGACAAATTAACACCCCATTACCCAAACATGGGGGCCAGGGAGGTCACACAACACGAGCTCCTGTTCATTTCTTGAGAGCCAGGATTCCAATCTATCTGTGTCCACCTCCAAAGCTTTGGTTGTTTCTGTAACATTATTGACTTCATTCTTTTCTGTGGGATTTTTTCCTCATCCCTCACTGACTTCCTTCCATTCACCCTCAAAGCTAAGTTATCAAATGATAACTCCCTAGAAGTCCCTGGTCACAGCAGGATGAGAAAATCAAGGTGAGTACAGTATTTGTAAAGCAAAATTATTTCCATGCACATGACTGTTGTTTACTCTCAGATTACGTCCTTCCTATATGTTGCATGTTAATAAAATAGTGGATGGTAGGTCTCAATATTCTTTTTTCTTTTCTAAAGAATGTGAACATGCAGCACAGGATCTGGTATAGTAAGTGCTCATTACAACAACCACTAAGATTTGTCTGGTACAGGCCAGTCTAGCTCCTCCCTGTTCTACTCCGCATGGCTAGGCCCACAGTAAACAGGTATGCCGTGGGATGACTCTGCTGTTGTGATTCCTCTGGGGGGATGAGGCATAGTAGTCTTGGTGGGACAGGGTTCAGAGTCCTGGGTCCAGCCATCTCTCAATCCCTTTCAATCGTCAAACATAGCCTATACCAGGCTCGGGGTGTGGTATTTCCTACCCACCTCCAGACACTCAACTCCAGGCAACTGCAAGGAGGGGACACAATAAAATCTAGAAGTTTTGAGTGAAATCCTAGTGTTGTGGGCTTACTTGTATTTCATACCCCATAATCATTTGTTGAAGCCCTAATTCTCCAGTACCACAGAATGTGATTGTATTTGGAGATAGGTTCTTTAAGGAGGTAATTACGTTAATGTGAGGCATTGGGATGGGCCCTAATCCAATATGACCAGTGTCTTTATAGGAAAAGAAGATTAGGATAGAGGCACACACAGAGGGAAGACCATGCGAAGACACAGGGAGAAGACCTATAAGCCAAGAGAAGCCCTGGAAGAAACAACCCTGCCGATAACTTGATCTTGAACGTCTAGCCTCCAGAACCATGAGAAAATAAATAGATTTATGTTATTTAAGCCACCTAGGCTGCTATTTGTTATAGCAGCCCAGCCCAACTGATACCTTTAGGAAGCAGAAAGGTCCTCTCAAGCAGGTGACTGAGTACCTTCTATCATAGTGGGGTGCTAGTCATTTTAAGACTCAGAAAATGTGATTTTAGGTGCCTGGGTAAGGAAAGATCAGGCCACTGGTAGGCAGGAGAGGCAGGAGCAGAAAGTGCCTGACTACAAATAGCAGAGCAGGAGGAGTGAGGCTGGCGAAGCTGGAGAGGCTGGTGATGGCCTGCCTGTCACCTCTTTCCCATCGTCACTAGGGAGTGGGAAAAGGCTGTTGAGGCCCATGTCAGAGTCTGAGTCCCGCCCTGGTGGGAAGACCAATTCCATCTAGACATCAAGGAGAAGCCGGGCTGGCCAGGGTGAGTCATCTAACAGGCAACCAGAGGAAAGACCTCAATAAAAGGCAGCCACTGTCGAAGCCTCATGACTCAAACCAAACATTTACTGAGGCAATGAAAGCCAAAGCCACCTTCCCTGTGAACCCAGCAGCATGAGACCTTAGAGGCTTCTGGAAGTAAAACGGCCACAGCGGGGTAGCCAACCACCAGGACATGGGACCTGGCCGCTGCCGTGGTTCCGGCAGCCTGAGGGTGTCAGACAGAAGACATTCAGTGTGAGTAGACACAGAAAGAAACCAGTGGGCAACTAGAGTGTCTCCTGGTCCCTTCATCATCATCCAGTCAGGAATCCCGTTTCTCCTTTTTTTAAAAGCCTTCTGACAAGAATTCTCTAGATGAAAGAATACAAAAATGAAAGTGGTCATTAAGAATTGTCGGACTTCTTAAGCAGCACCAGCCTTTTCCCCACATGAATTGGTTGCAGGGAGTTGGGATGGTTGGCTGTGTGTACAGGGCCTTCATATCGTATCCCTGGGAGACCGTGCCCTCACTCCAAGCTAAGGGCTGACAAGCATCAGCTGAAATCTGTTTCTGCCTAGGAAGATATCCATAGTGACTCACAGATTGGTATGGGAACAGGAAAAAAGAACGATTTTAATGAAAAGGCAGCAAGAGCAGAGCAGAAAACGTGAGTGGTCCTTGCAAGAACGAGGTCTAAAATACCTTTGTTAAAGTAAAAAAAAAATACATGCATATTTATGTGTACATGTACACACATAAAATGATGATATAAACATATCCATGCACACAGGCGGGCACACATATGCAAAACCATGCATGACTTACCACTGCACTGCGGTAAGTCAACCAACATGAAGGAAGTCAGAGCTCCACGTGCCTGCAGCACCAACCAGCCACTGAAGACACGAGAACGTGCTGGCTGGGCGCTGTCCTGCGCACCCTGTGTTTCAGGAGGCAGCTGTGGAAGTCTTGTCTCCCATCCCAAATGTCTAGCTCTCTGGGAACAAGGACTGTCTGTGGGCTTTACATCACACCACCTTATCTCACCTAGCACAGTGCTGATACTGAGGTGCTCAGTGGTTCATTTCTAAGGGCCACTGGACCCAAGCAATAAAAGGCAAACAAATATATGAGAGAAAATGCTCTTTGGAAACTGACCCTCGCTCGCACCTGCTGTCCACTTTGTTCCTCTGTCCATTCCCTGACCAAAAGGGAGAAGCAAACGTCTATGCTCTCTGCTCCCACTTCCTCTTGTCACTTCTTGGCATCCTTCTCCATCTCCCAAACAAAACAGCCCTTCTCCAAGGTTCTTTCTTTGGCAGAGGTCTATCTTTTTCCAGAGGCCTATCCAGGATCCACCTCATGCAGGCAAGAAGCATGGCACACCTGTGATTCATTCTCCACAGCAAGAGAGAGCTGAAGTTTTGGCTCTGGACCATAAAAGCAAGGGGTAGGGAGAGCAGTCCAAGCCAATTTAAAAATAAAAACTTTCCAAGAGAAAGGAAAAGGAGCATGAATAAGCTGGGGTGGGAGGGAGAAGAAATGTCATCCAGAGAATTTAAAACTACAGTATATCACCCTCAGTGTTCATTTTCTAGGTTTCCATGTAACATTCCAAACCAGCTCTTTCAAAGGAGCTCCAAAATCTTGGCAAAGACACCATAATTCCTAGGCTACAGTGTGTGGCTTGGCGGAAGATGAAGAGATGAAAAGTGAAAGGAGCAGAGAAGAAAAATGATCAGAGAACCCAACATGGAGAGCCCCTTCCAACGCTCAGCTCACAGCACCATGCGGGACAAGGGTGCCACCAGCTGCCAGGGGAACAGACACAGCACCATGCGGGACAGGATGCCACCAGCTGCCAGGGGCTCAGTCACAGCACCATGAGGGACAAGGGTGCCACCAGCTGCCAGGGGCACAGTCACAGCGCCATGAGGGACAAGGGTGCCACCAGCTGTCAGGGGCACAGACACAGCACCATGCAGGACAAGGGTACCACCAGCTGCCCAGGGCTCAAGGGCTGCCCTGAAGTCACAGTTGACCATATCACCACCGCAGACCTGCTAAATGGTATCTCTTTTGTGTTTATGATCAGACAGGGTCCCAAAGGGTCTGCCCACTAAACTGCTTGGAGGATGTTTCTCAACCGGGGGCCCTAATACATTAGAGGCAGGACAGTTCTTCACTCAAGGAACTGCTTCGCTCAATGCAGTGTCATACCTATAACCTGGTCACTAAATGCCAGTGGCATGTCCCAGACAATCTAAAACAACCATGAGCATTTCCAAATACCACTTGGTAAAAGATTCAGGGGAGGTGACCTCCTCTTGAGAACTAGCTTTTTTCATTTTTTAAAATTGATTTGAGAGAGAGAGAGAGAGAGAGAGAATAAGAGAGAAATATCGATTTGTTGCTCCACTAATCTGTGCATTCATTGGTTGGTTCTTGTATGTGCCCTGAGCAGAGATCGGACCCACAACCTTGGCGTATCAGGATGACACTCTAACCAACTGAGCTACTCGGCCAGGGCCGAGAACTAGCTTTTGAGCTTTCTGTGAAATTGCAGTTCAAGCTGTCTTCAACAACAACAAACATATGATGAGAAAAAGATCAAGTGCTATTCTCAACTGCAAGGCTGCAAGCCCAGGAGGGCAGCCATGGTGCAGGGAAAGAAGTCCTACTGGGAGCTGCCTAACACCTGGCTGCAATTCAACCATCTGGCCCTGCAGGTGGCAGGCAGCCATGCTGTCTCTGCAGGGGTGGCTCCAGCTCTGGCCTCCCGCGTGCCTGAGAGTGCCAGAGCTGGGCAAAGTCTCACCGGTGTTTGGAGACCCCTTACCTGTGACAGAATCACGCCCTGGGCTGCGACTTTATGACAGGAGGTGCTCCTCTGCCCCTTCCTTGCTATCAGGAAGAAAGAAAACCATAGAATTTCATGGTTCCATGAGACTCCGGGAAATCACTTACAATCGGGAGAAGTGATGCACAGGGGAGTGAAGCAGTTTGCCAACAGCCATAGAGCAAAAACAACCAGCATGGTGTGTGTGCATGAAGCACAGGTCAGCACTCCATAATTCCTACCCATTCGAATGAGCGTCCCCACATCCTGGGAAGTCCAGCCATTGCTTTTATGTGGAATTTCCCCGGAAGGCAGGAGGCTCCATCTTTTGGATTCCTGCTTAATATTCTCAAGTCAAGAACAGGCCCATGTGCTTTGTGCCAAAGTCCAACGGGATGTCCATGAAATGAAATCAGATTCTTGTTCACAAGCCCAGAATGCCTTCCTGCGGGCGCTGTGGAGGCCCCCTGTTGGAGAGGCTGCATGCTTCCACAGGCCATGCGTAGAGTAAAACAGAGTTGGTCGCAGTGGAAAGGAAGCTGCGGGAAGTGAATGCTGCCTAGCTCCCAAGCTTTCTAGAGAGGAAGTCAATCAAACCCAGAGTTGGGCAGCTGGGCAGGTAAGTCGAAAGGTACTGGTGAACCAAATAGAACCAGAGGCATGGATTCATGGCACAGACTTGATGAATGTCAAAGGGGAGGGGTGTGGGAGGGTCTGGGTAAAAGAAGGGGAAGAGATTAGCCAAAGAACATATATGCATATCCCATGGACACAGACAACAGTGCGGTGAAGACTAGGAGAGGGGGTGGGCGGGAGCTGGGTGGAGGTGGGCAAAGAGGAGGGAAATGGGGGACATCTGTAATAGTGACAACAATAATTTTTTTTAAAGTCTTTATTCTTGCCCAGGACCCACAGCCAAAGGTAAACCTGGTACTGAGTGTGACATGAAGTCGAGGACCCGGAAATAAGGCAGGCCTGAGGTCTAGGATGCTCTTGCACAGAGTGGCGGGTGTAGTGCGGAGACAGATGCTGGTTGAGACCATTCCTCTACCGCTGACCCTCAGCACAGAGGCCTCCCCTCCTCACCCCATTTCTCATGTCACCATCCACCTCTTTTAACCCCACTTTCAAGATCGCTCATCTGTGAAATATGAAAGCTAATTCAGAACTCTTATTTCTAAAGCATTAATTCACTCGACATTTTCAAAGCACCTTAACCAGTCCTCGCCCTTAAGGAGTCAGTGTTCCAACAGGAGTGAGAAGGGCCAGGCGAGCTCATGCATAGCTGCACAGTGAGTGTCGTGTGAGAAGCGTAACCTTGTTCCCCAGGCCTCTTCCCTAGGACGCCGGTTCCAGAAGATACACTGCCTAGAATTAGGGTTCCAGGACCAAATGATGTAATCACTTGGGGAAATGCTGTTACCCTCCACCCATTTTAAATGACTTACAGTACATATTAATGTGCTAAAGGCATTAAGATGTCTTTTAGTAAAAACCCCATTGATGCTGATTAAAAACCCAATGATTATCAAACATATTTGACTATTAACATCCCACAGCGACAATATTCTACTGAATCTAATTTGCTGAACTCCAACTGGTGTGATCAAGAAAAGGTTTCAAGAAGGAAGATGCATTTTGAATAAGCCTAAGAGATAGGTAGGGTTTTGTTACGCCCAGATGAAGGCAGGATATAAATCTATTCATTCACCACACACTCACTGAGCACTTCCTATGAGCAAGGCCAACCCCTGGTGCCATGGTGGACAGGCAGACCTTGAACCCTGGTCTCTGCTCTGGGGCAGAGTAGAGGGTACTGGTTCTGATTTGAGGAAGAGCTTCTTATATTTGGGGAATAGCAAGTACGTGGCTTGGGTAAAGCAAGTCGGAAAAAGATGAAAGAATAAGGGTGGAATGAAACAATAAATCAAGAATCCCAAGAAAAAATGAGCTATCAGGACAGATGTGTACCAGGCCACGAATTCCAAGTTAACAGCTCTGCCACAGACAGTAATATTCATTTGTTTCTGCCGTGGCTGGTTGAGAAACCTCAGGCAAGCCCTTCCCTTCTATGGGCCCCAGTTTTCTCATCTATAAAAGACCAGACTGGCTAAGTTCTCTAAGGCTCTTGCAGCATCAACATCAGAGACAGCAACACCAGCACTTAAGGAGAAACAGGCTGTGGGGTCTGGTGAATAGCTATTAGTTTGGATACATGTCAACAGCCTTGCAGAAAAAGTGAGCAGGAGAAAAATGAAGCCAGCTCCCTCTTCAACGCCCAGGGCCCAGTCCCACTCCACCAGATATCTTAGGATCACGCTTCTCATGCCAGAAGAGTGAATGTGGTATACTTTTCAACAGTCAATTTTGCAAAAAATAAATAAAAATAAAAAATTGAGGAAAGCAAATTTAATTTTTGTACTAACACTGGGACATGTTTTAGACTAGAATATAATATTCCCAATGTATTTTCAAGGTATTTTTGAAAATGAGAACTTAAAGAAGCATTTGCCTTGTGCTGGCTTTTTGTCTTATGGTTCTGCAGTCCTTAGGGTGCTCACTCTCACTCAGAGGAGGGAAAGTTTGGGAAACCCAGAGCCTTTGCTAGCCTTAAGTCTTGTGGAGACAGAAGCCTACTTATCCTAAATAAAATTACACTAAAGAGTCTGGCACTCACCATTAGACTGGTCATCCCCGTAGTTCTTATGGGATGGTGCATACAGGAACATCAAAGCAAAGACGTACAGATTCCACATCCCATAGATGCCTGTGAAAAAGGCACTGTTCACCTGGACTGTGACACCACCCCACTTCCAATGGCCTTCGGTCACCTGTGGAGAGAAGACAGTGACACGGAATTAGAGCCGAGAAGAAACACAACACCAACACGGGAACCAACCAACCAACACAAAAACCAAGTCTCTTCTACACGTGGGAAAAGTGTAGGGCGATGTAGGACTCCAGTTTTTTATCTGAATCACACTCTGAACAGATTAATTAAGGGCTTACTATAGGTGTCAGGCACAAAGTCTGCTTGTCGTTTGGCTGCACACCAGAATCACCTGGGAAGTGTCTCTTCCTAAAACAGCAGCACACCATTATCCCTCATTTAAAGAAACTATGATTGAGCCTAACCCTTATCCACAAGTACAACTCCTCCTCTGGTATGTTTTCCCAGCTCACTGTAAACTGACCACAGACAGAGGCCAGCTCTGGTTCGTTTACTGCCATATCTTCAGTCCCTGATGTGCCTTGGGGCTCAGAGAAGGCAAGTGAATCCTCAGAGGGAGTTTTCCCTAGAGGGGCGGTGAGGGGAAGCACCGCAGAGATCTGGATCCAAATCCAGCCTCCACCACGTACTCTGTTTAATGTAAGAGAAGTAAAGGCTAAGACTCTGGACTTTAGTTTCCATCAGTGCAAAAGAAGATCTTGCAGGGTTATTGAGGAGAATTAAGTAAAAATATTTCTAGAAATTTCCTGGCATGCAGTAAACACTCAATAAATCTTTTTTATATCCTGTCTCTCTTTGTAGGTCACTCACAAAAGTAATTATGAGCTTTCATGTGCTTTACAATCCTGCAAGAATGTTTTGAGGCTGCTTTTGTCTATGTTAATGACTTGGTAATTGTTGTAAGAGCTGTCTGATGACATATGTGTTATAGGAAGAATTGTCAACAGAACTGTTGAGGTGAATGGCTGGTGATTTGTGAGATCAATGAAATGATTTTGACCGCTTCTGCCTGCCACAGGAAATCTTACATGGGAGTAAAAGAAAGTATTGGACATATATTCCTGTGATAGTTTAATGAGGCGAGGTTATATAAGCTATCCCTAAGGAGCCCCTTCTTCTAAGAGCTAAAGTGTAAGAGGGCAAGCCATATCTAACTACTAATGACTAACAAACAGGTTGATTCCACCTCCTGTTTTTGAAGCCGTGGGTCTATATTCCTTTGGTGCCCTCTTTATAACCCATAATCCACTAGGGCAGTGGTCGGCAAACAGTGGCTTGGCAAACTGTGGCTCACTAGCCACATGTGGCTCTTTGGCCCCTTCAGTGTGGCTCTTCCACAAAATACCGACTTCTGCTCATGGGCCACGAAGTTTCAATCGCACTGTACGTGTGCGCCCGCACGTGGTATTTTGTGGAAGAGCCACACTGAAGGGGCCAAAGAGCCGCATGTGGCCCGTGAGCCGCGGTTTGCCGACCACGGCACTAGGGCCCCAGGCATAGCGCAGCTGTAATGACAGGTATTTCTTCCTGTAACCAGATTAAGTGATTACAGACTTTACCAGTTTTAATTTGACATTGGCGATACATAATTTTTTTCATTTCTGTGAGTCATAAACAAACCACCACCATGAACTTTTATTTATTTGGGGGAAATAATTCATTTTATATGACGTGCTCAGGAAGGTTTTGGCCAAAGAAGGATTTCTTAACCATTACTGATTTTGGAGCAATGCACCAACATTCAAGCTATTTAGGGCTTACTTTGTAGAAAGGTCTCCAAATGTCACTTTTTCTTATTTTTAAGTACAGAATAGCCTAACTTTATAAGAGTCACAGTACTTAGAGATACTTAAGATAATTTTTTAATGGAAGGGGAGGGGAAGCCTTAAGATAGTTTCCGGAACCATGTAGCAGATACCACATGTACCTGCTGTCCTTGCAAAGGGAGCTCCTCTCTATGCGATTAAGGAGGGGCGGCTAGGCTGGGAGAAGTACAGGTAAAACAGGGTCAAACACTTCTTATCCTCTTCTACTCTATTAAGATAGGGGACCTGTCAGAGAGCCTACTTCCTGTGACATAAGCTAGAAATACTCAGGATTGACAATTCTGCTGAAGTTGATTCTTGCTGAGGTTGGCATGATGGATTTAAAAAAAATACCCACTTGTGTGCCTGGTACACAATGGTGCTCAACAGACAGATGTTTGTTGAAGGAATATGGGCAAAAGGATAGGGATGTGTAGAAACATGGGAAGGGGGATAGAAACAGTCAAGCTTAGGAAATATCTGACTGAAGAGTCAGCAGAAAATACCGAAGTCCTTCACAAATCCCAATAATTGCACTTAAAAGTAAGAGGTCAATAGGTAATAAGTGTTATTTCATTGAAACATTTATGCCTATTGCATCCTTTTAGGTCAATTAAAAAAATAGTTAATAGGTATTAGCAAAGCTAAGATTTTAAAAAATAATAGCAAGGATAAGAATAGTTAACATTTATTTAATGCTAGTGGTTTGTCAGGAAGTATGCTAAGGATTTTACATGGAAGGTATTTGTTTCAATAACAAATCTATGAAATAGGTGGTTAAAATTTCTATTCAACACCTGGGTAAACTGTGACACAGAATGTCTTGCCTAAAACGGCTCAGCCAGAAAGTCCTGGCTCTGACTCCAAAAGAAGATCTACTTAGCCATTATACAACACAAGAGTAGGAATATTATCTTAAACAGGGGTGGGTCTCTTAAGCTAAATTATGAGGCAACTATTGTATAAGGTCAAATTTCTTTTGAAAACTCACTTAATTGGCCATGATGCACACTGGTTAATTAGTATATGTACACTCAGGTGTGTTTATTCAAATCTGTACAGTAAAACATATGCACTATATATCCTAGATATAATGCATGGCATATAATAAATTGGATGTATATGCAAAATACAATTTTATAGCAGAACCACTCAAATGACATGCTCATACTCGGAGGGGCCCACAGCCCACTCGGAGGAGCTGAGGAAATAGCATTTTCATGCGCAACTCTCACGTTTGCTTCAAGACACATGCACGTCAAGATAGAGTTGCAGAATTACCCATACTACTTAATTTGTAATCTCTAAATGTGTTATTTCCTGCTGAGGGCAAAGAATTGAATTTGCATAAATAAATTGTATACAGTGTCACTCTGCTGTTGGGGACTCAATTGTGTTTTCCCCTCTCCTCCCTCAATTATTCATGCCTGAGCCATCCTGGGCTCTGAGCACATTCCCACCACCATGCACCACAGTCAGCAGCCTCCACAGAGCAGCCTTGTAAATCCAAAAATCTCATTAATGCCAACGCAGAGAGGTGACAGTCACCCCGCTTTAACTTTCGGGGAGAAAAATCAGGTAGCCCCAACAAAAAAACAAAAAGAGAAAATCATCTCCCCTCTGTATACCTCCTCTTTCTAAAGGTTCCTGCTTTTCCTGATTTAACATTTGAACAATTTACTTTTGTGTGAAACCACCCAATTATACTCCTGGAGCCAAGTGAAGGTCAAATCCTTTTACACCCAGTAGTCTTGACAACCGGCATTCCACTTCACAATAAGATTTCCAAATCCCAGACGCAGGCTCTCTTACTGGAAACATTTCCTCTGCAAGTAGCAGAATGAAGTGATCACACAAACAAAAGAAGAAGAGCTGGGGACAGGCTCTCTGGGAGTTTGCTGCTCATGGCTTGACCTGCGTGTCAGGCACCTGGGGGTTCCCTTAGTGAAGGTTGGTGACCTACTCCCCTGCATTGCACTTCTGTTCCCGACTGCTCGTCACCCCTAAATGGAACGCCTCTTTCTTTTCCAGAGGGAAGGGGCTAACATACCACACTGTGATGTGCCATCTCTCGGTTGCTAGGACTGAGGCCATTAAAATGGCAGGCGTTAAAAGGCTGCACCTCAGTGCCCAGCTACAAAGCCTCAAGGTCACTGCATTCCACAGCTTCCGTCGGCCTTTCATTCCTGGCCTCCAGCTTCAATGTCCTGGCGAGAACCCCTCGCATTATATTTCAGGGGCTTAAATGCAAGCTCTCCCAGCAAGCCCGAGTGTATAATGGAAGTTTTAATACATTCCTTTTACCTAAGGCTGGGATCTATTTCAAAAAGTTACCCAGTAGATTTTCTTTCAGGTGAGCTCATTGCTGAAACATTCCAACATGACATTAAAAAATAAATCCTCTGATCACTATATTAATACAGTACCTGGGACACTGAGAGTTATGCCTGAAAACGTCTTAAATCTATAAATAAACCTTTATAAAAAAGCCACCCAGCAGGAGGAATGTGAGCAGCTAAGGGAATCCAAAAGACCTCATTGCTACCCCCTTAGAGTTCAAATCCACTCTGGACCGACTGTCACAGCAGATATAAAAAGCCACCCACAGGCTGGAGCTGTGTTAGAAAATACTGGGGCGATGGAATATTAATCTTTTTCTTAAGAGAGAAGCCACAGACTCTGCTCCTTGGAAGACTGACCTCCTTTGCTCTAAAAAGGTGCAGTCATTAAACATGTACAAGGTTAAATTCGGACAACATATAACCGCCTTAAACATCAGCCCAATGTCCCTTCTTGACTTCAGGGAGCAGGGACTCTGCAGAGACAAGAGAGGAAGGGGGAAGGGGCTGTGGGAGACTGACTGCAGCTTTCTAAAGCGGCAGGAGCACGTGTTAGAACCAAATGTGCCCGTCCTGGGAGCATATCTTGGTACTGCCTTCTATTTCTCAGCTCATCTTACGTGAGGTTCCGGATCTCCAAGCGGTGCACGCTGCTCTCTCAGGCTGGCAGAACTGGCTGTATTAACAAGCACATGACCAAGGCACTGCAGGGCTGCAAAGCATTTTGGTCACACGAGGGACTCAGCCAAGGGATACGTCGGGCCTCCCACACAACTTGTTTGAGCCTCAGTTAGGTGAATAAAAAACTCATTCAGAATTTGAAATATTTTTACTGCATCTGGAGTGGAGAATGAAGTTTCCAAGGTTTTATAAACAAACAGTCTGATACAAGCACAGCACTGTTGTAGGTCACAGCAGATGTGGTGAACAGATCTTATGAAGATATATATGTATATATTCGTTATTTCCTCCCACATTCACTTCAGCCTTCAGGAGCAACACTAACACTGCCCACTGGGCATGGCCAACAGAACTCTAGGGACTCCTAACTTGGTGTCCTTAATGGAATTCAAAGGGTATGTGAACTGAAATGAGAAAAATATGTTATCTTTGTTTTCACCAGTCTCTAATTGAAAGTTACTGTTTCTTTCAATTATGACTAGAGAAAACAAACCCCCATAATAGAAGCACTGCCTATAATTTTGTTACCAATAGAAATCACATTTTCATATCAATTACACTTATAGTTATGTATAGTTGCACATATATATCATCTATCTGATTCCCTTTGAAAATCAAAGCGTTTTAGTTTACTCATTTAAAAACATTCAAAGAAGAGATCCATAGCTTTCACCAGCATACCCATGGGGTTCATGGCACAAAAAGTTAGGAGCCCCTGTACTGGAAGGAAACTTGCTAGCAGAACGGGGCAAGTCTTGCCCTAAGGCTCTGTGAGCATGCCTAACATTTTCAATTTTGGCCAAATACAGGGATGGCAGAGGACCTGGTAAAAAAAAAATAGTCAAAAGGTCTGGGTTCTGGTCCCTAACTTAGTCTAGGTCCTTTAGCACAACATTCACACTTTTTGCTATTCATAAGGCACACCTGCATGCTCACAACACCTGCATTTTGCAAACATTAGTTCATGGGATCCTTATAGCCACCTTCTACAGTGTTCTATTATTACATCCATTTAACAGATAAGAAAATTGAACCTAGAACTTTTAAGTAATCCATCCATAGTCCCACCCAAGTGGAAAACATTATAAATAGGACTAGAGGCCCATTGCATGAAGAGATTGGTGCAATAGGCCTTCCCTTCCCCTGGCTGCCGGCACCAGTTTTCCTCCGGCACCTGGGACCCAGGCCTTCACTCTGGCCGGAGCCTTCAGTCTTCGCTCTGTCACTTTGTGCCTACGTATGCAAATTAACCATCTTTGTTGGGTTAATTTGCATACTCTCCTGATTGGCTGGTGAGCGTAGTGGAGGGGCGGTCAATTTACATGTTTGTCTATTATTAGGTAAGATATGTCTCTACAGCCACTAGATTTCATATTCTAGCAAACTAGCAAACTGGGATAACAAATCCTACCCATAGGATTTCTGTGAAGTTCAGATGAATGAAAGATACATAATACTTAGTAACTTCCAAAAACAAGATACCAATATTTAAAAATAATTCGCATTAAGATTTTGAAGCACAGCAAAATGTTGAGATTTGGAAAATAACCAGTAGAGATAAGGGGACTTTTGAATTTCATTTCATGTTTAAGTGGCAATAGAATTATTAAAAAGAATGGCTGATGGCCTATAAAAGGATCTACGCTAATGCTAGATAAGGATCAAATCAAATTAATACTTGCTTGCTGGTGTTCTGCTACAGGGCTTGAAAAGTTTATTCTCTGAAGTAAATGAAACAAGTGCTCTTCAATATGGCTGCAGGCTGTTAATTTACTTAGCAACTGTTCCCCCCCTGTACTGAAAGGGAAAATTCAGTCCACTTCTGGCCGGATAATGACAAGACCCAGAAAGAAGCCTAGAAAACATGGCTTGCTCTGCTGCCCAGCATGAGAGCTTCCCTGCTCCTTTCCCAGTAGCTCTGCAGAATTCTCTGTGCAGAGTAGAAGCGCCTCTCCAGGGACAGTCTCACCCTGACCTCTCAGGGTCCACTTACCTGACTAACAATAAAGAAGATGATGGTCATGGCAGCACAGGCCAAGGTGATAAGCATGAGGAACTTGAACCTGAAAATCAGCCCCTATTAGGAGAGAGAAAGAGTGGCTTAACATTCCACCAGCTACCATCAATCCTTATCTCAATATATAAATCTCTAAAAATCGAATTTTAAAGAAATCTATAAAACCAAATCCCTAAGAGTGATAGTGAAATAATTTCACATAGTAACCTTTCTCCTGCAGAGGGAAAAAAAATGTCTTGGGCCAAATATGTCCTATGTGCTTATCTCTCATGAAACAGTAATACCAGAGCCTGGGAAATTATATTCACAGCACATCACGAGGCTGCTAATTTCCCTGCTAAGCTGGTTATGCTTCTCTGTAAGGGTTCAAAGTTACCAAATCCAAGTTGTTGTTTTTTTTGCAGTGGAAATAAAATTCTGCTCCAGTGAACAAAAAGAAACGTGCATATTAATCAACATCAAGTGGACTCGGTTGAGTTTTTTCATGTGTCACTCTAGCTCTAGAGACAGGCAAAGCTTTAGAAGTGCCCCTGGTTTCTGAGAGCAGGGTTGAAGGGAACCTGTGTTTTGGGAAGGGACGCCTCTGCAGATCTACTGCATATGGGAACCCTGTGGTTCTGCCGTTTCTGTTTTTCTCTTCAGAGAGGAATTAGGTCCATGTCTCCAAGCTCAGCCACTTGGGCGTGAGCCCAAAGGGATCCTTGAGAAATCAAGAACGTGTTACCCACATTAGAGATTTGAGTGTTTCTCTTGAATGAGGCACATAATCTATAAACAGAGATCACTGAACTCTATCTGAGCACCTGCTGGATATTTCAGGGGGAACTGTGGCTTCCTTGAGTCTGCAAATCAGATCACCTGGGCTGAACCCCACCCAGTCTTAAGGCTGATTCTCAGCCAGGGAACCTTAACCAATGCCTCACCCCAAGCCAAATCCCAAGTCTATCAAACTCAAATCTCCCACTGAGCATGTACCTACATTCCACCCCAAAGCCGAAGAACCTGTGGGACAAGTTTACTACTCACTGGGGACAGAAATACCTTTATACCCTCAGAAAACTCCAAAATTTAGATAGTCCAGCTACATGCCTCTCGGCGTAGGATTTAGCCTCTTATTTTTCCCAGAGATCCTCTAGTACACATAAATCTCTCAATGTGTATGTGTATTTGAAATAAAGGCTTCCAATCTCCAGGTGTAGGGTGGGGTGGGGTGGGGTGGGGTGGGGTGTGGTGTGTGTGTGTGTGTGTGTGTGTGTTTATACAGCAAGCAGGGGATACTGAGTACCGTTTCCTGAATGAGCCAAGAGACCTGCTCACCTCATAGTGCAGCCGCCGGACTTTGCTCATGGCTGGCAGGCTGGACTGCTTCCCATTGATGTTCCGAAACACCTGAAATACCATGAAGCACAGAAACAGGAAGTACAGGCAGAGGCAGATCCCAGCCACGATGATGAAGGCCATCTGATGGTGTTCGGTGAAGGAAACAGCAGGGTAGGCAAGCACACAAGCCCTTCTCCCAGCTCCATTGGTAATACCTTTTCTCTCCAAATATGTAGGTAGTTTTCAGGGGTATAAAATATTAAAACCTGGTTCTAATGTCAGTGAGATAGGTTTTCTGCCACAAATCTAGCAAAGAGAGAAACATTCCAAATTGCTTTCTAAGCCAAATAAGAGAAATGAAGCTTCCCTTCATTTCTCTTCAATGCAGACTCCAGGGCCCAACCTAGACCTTCTGAATCAGAATCTGCCTTTTAACAAGGTCCTTGGGAGGTTCATATACACAATAAATTTAAAAAGCACTAAAATATTAGGTGTTGATTGCATAATACTGATCAAGTGGACAGCTGCATTAAAATCACCAGAATTAAAATACAGATGGCCCAGGTCTCTCACTGCAGGTATATGGAATCAGATTTTCCAAGGGATAGGACACCAAGAATAACCATATTTGGAACCATTGGGCTAGACTCTGGATTTTTGGAAGGAGATTGAAATACCCTGGAATCAGGAGCGGGTGGAGTGGGGTTGGGTGCAGCAGCTGCTAAGGGAGGCTGGCCATGGGAATGAAGGTCTATAAGTAAAACCAGGGGTGAAGCTCTGTTTGCAATCTCCTGTCCACCACAAAAACTATCGTGTCAAATGGAACAGGGACCAGGAGGACACATGGCCAAGGTGGGAGTTGAGAGGGTGGCAATATACTTTCAGACCAAGCAGGGCGACTTTAAGACCTATCTTTAAAGTTCAGTCTGAGAACCACTGAGGCTTGGGGTAGAGTGAGCTGGCTCGGAGACAGGTGCCCTGATCTTTAATTCCTTTCTGCTACAACTCTACCCCAAGTTACATATTTAACAATTGTTTAACAAGTGTGAATTCAGCATGTATATTTCATTAAATAATATATTTAATGAAGCTTTTCCTTCTTTCCTAAAATCAATAGTACCCTGGAATGAAGGGAACATAATTATTTGCTTCAGGACTCTAAATGTTATTTGCCTTCCTAAATTGTCATCATATCATAGAACAAAAGGGCTGGAGTAGATGTGACATTATATATATATCCTATATAGTAAAAGGCTAATTAATATGCAAATAGACCGAACGCGGAACAACCGATCACAATGACGTGCGCTGACCACCAGGGTGTGTGTGCGAAACATGGCGGGTGTTGGCCGCGGTGGGATGGTGGAGCATGTGAGAGGGGGCGCAAGACCAAGGAGGGGCGCCAGTTGCTGTCATTGGGGCGAGCCTCTGGTGGTTATTAAAAATTCTTTGCTCCCGCACACCGTGGTCTCGCCTGGCACTTGCACCTGCTGCCGGCGCTGGCGCCGGCCCCACTTGCACCCGCAACCAGCACTGGAGCCGCCATTTGTACCTGCTGCCAGTGCCTGGCGTCAGTCCCAATCACTCAGCGCCATCAGTGGGTGCGAGCGGCGGCTGCTGCTGGCCCTGATTGCCCCTGAGGGTTTCTCCACCTCCCCCTGCTCCTGAGGGGAGACCAGGGCAGCAGACGCCACTCGCACCCACTGCTGGCGGCGGCCCCAATCGCTCCGCACTGTCAGCGGGTGGGTGCGAGCGGGGCTGGCGGTGTCAGCGCATGGGAGCAGCAGTAGTGGGAGTGGGGCTGCTGGCAGACAGGGAACAGGGGGCTGCAGCAGGAGGGGCCAGGCAGGGGTGTGGAGGATGGGCTAAGACCCGCCCCTGTGCCTACTGCAGCCTCACAGGCCACAGTTCCTTTCAAGGTGCACGAATTCGTGCACTGAGCCCCTAGAGTGTGTGTGTGTGTGTGTGTGTGTGTATCTATATATCTATATATATCTATATATATATCTATATATCTACATATATATCTATATATCTATATATCTATATATCTATATATCTCTATATCTATATATCTATAGAGATATAGATATATAGATATATATCTATATATATATCTCTATATATATCTATATATAGAGATATATATATAGATATATATTCCCCGTTTGGTGCAGCTCACAGATTTAGTGTGCTCACAGACTTCTTGTGATAATCCAAAGCCAATATAAATATCATGGCCAGGCAAAGCATATTGGCCAGCACATAACAAGATATTATCCATCAGGAAAGAATACAACTCAAGCCTTTCTCCCCTCTTTAGAGGAGAGTCTTTTTCTCCCCAAGGATTTAACTCATTATTCAGGAAGATAAAATATTTAAATCCAGCATCCTAAAAGGGATAAGCTAATACTGTCACTTCTGCTTCATAAAGAGGACTCCGACAGAGTTTATACAACCAACCAGAGGCCTTGGGCAACGCCTCTGGAACTAATCACCTTAGCCTTATCTCCTCTTGGTCTTGGAAATGAATAGCAGCAGCATGGTATGCCAGCACACCAAGGTCACTGTAAGAAGTCTCACACACAGAGGAATTCAGAAACTGGCTCTCCCACAAGGAGCCCAGAAATGAACCTCCATGGCTCCAGGGAAAAGCTAGTCATGCTTCGGTCTGCAGTAAACAAGGGTGGAATAGATAATTTAGACAGGGTGCAATAAGACCAGCAATTCTGATGCTTCCGCCGTAGGGACATGCTGCAATCTCCTTATTTTGCCTGCTCTCACCCAGGCTTGAAAGCAAGCATTAATTCCTCTCATTATTTGCTTTAATTGTGCCGTTATCTTCGGTCTAAGGATCAAAGCTCTGGCTGAGCACATATGGAGAACATCATTAGAAAATGATCTTGGGGATCGGACGGCTATGGGAAGAAATAAAACCCTAAGACCATCCAGGAAGGATACAGCCAGCTCTGTTCCAACATCTGTAGTCCAGATACTGTAGAAGGGATTCGTGAGTTGTACCCCTCTACAAAGAGAAACGAGATGGAAAAGCAAGAAACAATTAATACAGAGGCAAAGGGGCACTTTCCTTTCTATAGAGTCTTAGCTTTTCAGCTGGAGGGGTGGAGGGTGTATTTAGAAATGTCACAGAGGACTTAAATAGAAAAAGAGTTTGAAGAATATCGGCCCAATCCGGCCAGTGTTGCCCAGTGGTTGAGCCTCAACCTAGGAACCATGAGGTCACGGTTTGATTCCATGATCAGGGCAGGTGCCCTGGTTGTGGGCTCGATCTCCAGTAGGGAGCGTGCAGGAGGCACCTGATCAATGATTCTCTCTCATCATTGATATTTCTATCTCTCCCCCTCTCCCCCTCTCTCTGAAATCAATAAAATACAATTAAAAAAAAAGGAATAATCAGCCCAAATCGTTTGCATCTATAAAGAGCTTTACCTTTGATTTAATCCCAATCCCTATCTGAGGATGTGACCATGTCCACAGTCTCCCAACTACCCTTCTCCCTTTTGAAAACTCCTCCTGAAGAGCGGGCAGTGGACATGCTGGTGTGCATTTCAGCCCAGAGTCCCACAGGCATCTGCTCACCTCTCACACATGTCAAATATGAAGAGGCAGAAAGAGCCAACAGCGATTGGTCCGACTTGCTTCCAATACCCTGCTATGTGATTCCGCTCATGCTGATCCTGATGAAAGCCAAGTTGAGAAATGAGATAAAGATGGGGAGAGCAAAACAATTCTATAGGTGAGTCAGTCATTCGAACAATCCTTGCTGACAACCTGCTGTGTATCAAACATCGTGTCAGACTCTAGGCTTTGAGAATGGGTGAGACCAAAATCTGTTCCTAAAACTCTCATAGTAATAACAACAGGGTGCTACAGGAACACAAAGAAAGGCCTTATAGGTTAAATCATTTAGAATTAAATTCGTATGTGACTTATTCTTTGTGTTTGATAAGGTGGGGTGGTCCCCAGAGGACTGAATAAAGGCTCTAAGGTATTCAACTATGTCAAATATAAGAGGTCTCAAGGTTAGGAAAATAAATCCATGTTTTCCCTGTCTTTATTCAAAACAGGAATGGTTCCTCTTGATACATGTACAAAGATACTAAAAGACAGAAAATAAAGGGGAGTGGCTGGGGAGTGTTGGGGTGGGGGAGCTAAGAGATCAACTGAAGGACTTGCATGCATGCATATAAGCATAACCAATGGACACAAGACACTGCGGGGGTTGGGGGGTGAGGGCATGTGCTGGAGGGTAGGGAAGGTCGGGGGAAGGTGGGGAAAAAAAGGAGACATATGTACTGCTATCTGTAATACTTTAAACAATAAAATAAAATTTAAAAAATATACTTCATTAAAACAATTTCACAAAAACAAAAGAAAATAAAGGCGAGTAAACTGAGAAAATAGAGAAAGGCAAAAGACATAGTTTAGCATCCAGGCTGGGATCCCGGTGGGACATTCCACACCAATTCACTCTGGGCAGTGCACCCCGGCACACTGTCCGGCCGCTGCCCCTGAGCCCACTCCACTCGCTGTCCCTGCTGCTGAGGGCTCGTTCTCCATGTGTCACTGCTGGCGAACCCTCATGCCTCCCCTGGCAGTAGGCAAAGCCTTCCTCTCCTCTCACTGTTCTCCTGGAAGGGCTGCACGGCTTCGGAAGCAATGATCAAACCATCATGGAATTCACAAACAGCCCACCCAACCACAAAGCCCATGTGCTTGACCCGGGGCCCAAGCTACAGCTGGCGTGTCATTTTAGCCACAACGTGCTGACGGCACCATTCTTATTTTTATCCACGGTACCGTCAATTCCTCTTGAAATACGATTTGGTGTCTGTACAAACTGACCAGGGAGGACAGCGTTTCAGGGTAAGAGGGGTTACTAGGCCACCTGGACAAATTGCCAGCTGGAAAGAACTGGGCCTACACTACATTCTCTGGTGGTGACGTTGGTCCTGGGCATAAGCAGAGCAGAAGCCAAAGGACAAGAAATAATAATAATCGCTAACCTTTGTGTGTTGACTCCCTGCTAAGTATGTTACATTTACATCTCACAAAAACCCTATGCACAAATCCCATTTTATAGATGAGGAACTTGAGATTCAGAGTGATTAAGTCACGTGCCTAAGGCCACTCAGCTCACCAGTGGTGAAGCAGAAATTGGAACCGAGAGCCTGATCCCAGAACTCACTCCTGTAGCCACTAATTTATTCTGCCATAGCCACTGTCCCTTCCCCGAGAGGTGCTGACTCTTACCATCATGTGCTCGCCACAGAAGATGATCCAGAAGGAGAGAAGCATTGCATAGAAGATGCCCTGCCGAATGTCACCAAACAGCAGCATCCACGTCCAGTCAAACCCAATGGAAAACCATTCCACTGGGATATTGATAAAAGTCATGGAAATCCCAAGGGCAAAGATGACTCTGATGGCAAGAACATATCAGGAAAATGATTTGATCAATTTGGGAAGCAGATCTTCAAACGTCAGAAGCCAGTTTTGGGGAATGAGATGTTACTTATTGGGAATGAAGCCATATGACCCATTTTCTTAGCTCTCATAGTGAGTTTCTACACAGAGATACAAAATGTCTTCTTTTTGTGGTACCATTGCAGAATGAAGGCATGTTACCTTAACCTTTCTAGATCACTGAACCTAACCTCCTTAACCCCTGGAATTTTATTTTGGTACCAGCTCAGATTAAAAGCTTCCTACAATGTTTTTACCCTCCCTTGCCTTCTTAATCAGACCTCCTTGAACATAATGATCCTCTCTTATCTATTCAGGTTATCACTAACTTGATCTCTAAGAATATTCATTGTTATAATGCTTTCCTCAGCAACTGTGAATTATATGAGCATATTCGTTTCGGTGATAAGTGACTCCAAACAGTATGAAATGCACATTCTTTTAATGGCTTGTTTAGTGTGTATTTTGCTTCCCCCATCACACTATTAATTGCCATTTCTCTACCAAATTATTCATTGAGTCACTGATTTATTCCTATTTTCATTCATTATTAATGAAATACATATGTTTATTAAGCACAGATTATGCACTGGGCATTTTGTTAGGGCTATAAATACCTAAATAAATATGACCAGTTCTTCCACTCCTGGAAATATGTTTAGTGCCTCGGCCAGATAAAGAGACAAAGTGTGATAAGTGGTATGATAGAAGTGTGTGCACAGGCTGCTACTGTCACCTCTAACTTTGACAGAAATTGAGGTGAGTTGTGAGCCAAGGATAAGGAGGTGGATGGGCATTCCAAGCAGAGGGAAATGCGTGGATGGAGGCTCAGCAGCCTGCAACAGCCTGAGCATTTGGGGATCTGCATGAGACACTTATCAGGAAACGTCAGGACATGATACCAGAGAAGTGAAAAGGGGTGAGCTCATGAGGAAACTTGAATACCTCATTAAAGAATTTGCAATTTATCCTGAAAGAACTGAACCAATAAAAAAGGTTCAACAATGGAGTGACATGATTCTTTCATTCATCCATTCATTCATTCAACAAATTCATATTTATTGAATTCCTTCTATGTACCAGTCACTATTCTAGACACTAGGGATGTAACAGATAGCAAAACAAAGATCCCACTCTTGTGATACCTGCATTCAGATGGGGTTAGAGGAGGGATATAAGAGGAAAGATAGTAAATAGAGAATGATTGTTATAAAGAAAAATAAAGCAAGGTGGGAGAATGGAGAGTAGTGCTATTTATATATGATGGGCAGGAAAAGCCTTTAAGATAAGATACATAAGAGCAGGGCCTGAAGGAAATGAGGAATTGAGCCACAGATCTATCTGGATAAGAGCATCTCAGATAACGAGAACAGCAAGTGCAAAGGTCCTGGGGTTAGGCATGTTTGAGCACCATCAAGGGGATGGTAGGTGATGAAGAGGATAAGAGATAAAATCAGAGGTAGTAAGAGTCCAGAATATCCAGGGCTTTATAAACTAGGGCAAAGGAGGTGCAAAGCCAATAGAGAGCTTTGAGCAGAGGAGTGACATGATCTGATTTACACTTGAAAGGGAATCTGGCTGCAGTGTGAATAGATTATAGGGAGGAAAATGGTGGAAGCAAGGAGAACAGTTGAGAGGCTCTTTCAAATAAACCAGGTGAGAAATGGTGGAGGGTTAGATTAGGGTAGTAGCAATGAAAATGGTGAGATTTCTTGGTGGGTCAGATGAGGAGTGTGGAAAACCAGAAGTAAAGGGGACAGGGTGGAGTTGCCATTTCCCATGATGGGAAAGCCTGGGAGAGGAACAGGTTTGAAATGGGAGGATATCCATTGTTTTTTGTGCGTGTTACATTTCTGTGTAAGTGAAGATGTTGAATAAACAGTTGGAATATTTGAATCGAGAGTTGGGAGAGGCTGAGATTGACGATTATAAATTAAGAGTCATCATTTAGGTGATTTTTAAAACCATGAGATTAGATGAGATCATCTAAGGACTAAGCACAGCTAATAAAGAGAGAAGTTCCAAAGACTGAGCCCTAACTCCAAAGTTTAAGAGGTTGGAATTTGGTTGGAAAGAGCAATGGAGACTGAATGACCAAAGGAGGAGAATGACCACAAAAAGGGTGGAAAAGGCTAAAAAAAAAAAGGCAGTGATCAATCATGTCAAATGCTGATAACAGGTCAAGAAAAGTGAGGACTGAGATATGACCATTGGGTTTGGAATGTGAAGGTCACTGGTGATCCTATCAAGACCAGTTTCATGGGGTTCGGGGAGGGAGTGGTGTGTGAAATGGGCTTAAGAAAAACTAGGAGGAGAAGATATACAGACAAATTTTTTTGAGGAGTTTTGTTGTAAAAAAGAAAAATGGTGTGATGGCTTCAAGGGGAAATGGGAAAAGGAAAAGTTTTGTTCAAGAATGAGAGGTAACAGGGAGTATTCGTACATTAGTGGGAATGATTTCAGCAAAAAGGAAAAAGTCAATAATATGGGAGAAAGGAATACGTCTACAGGAGCATTGTCCTTCTGGACTGGTCTTAGTTAGGAGAAAGGCAGCTCACCCCCTGTAACAGGGAGAAGTATCTGAGTCAGACCATGGGGATGAGGAGCAAGGACAGAACAAGGAGCCGAAAGAGAGAGAACCTGCAGCATTTAATAATAATTTCTATGTGAAAGCTGGAGGAGAAAAAAAGTCCAGAATGACTCCTGGTCAAATCACTAGCCCAAGTACTACACTGACCACTTGACCTAGATCCCACTAAACAGGAGCAGGCAATTAGATCATGCAATGCTGTGTTCCCTCAGGGTGCTCCCATCTCAACCCTTACTTTTCTAGAAGCACCGGGGGCCGGGACAGCATGGTGATCCTCCTCCAATACCACACCATAATGATGAAGATGCTGGGCGTAAGGAAGGTCTTCATGGCAAACCACACCTTGGTGAAGCCTCCATTTTGGTGGATTCCCTAGAGAGAGGCCAACATTTTGAAAGTGAATATATCTTGGTGTTATTTTCTACCAGCAGAGAGAGGTAAGGGGAGACCTTGTCTGCTGAACTGTCCAGATCAAAAGCTTTCACATTCAGAGCATATACTGTCGCCTACTCTCCCTGACCCCTTCTCAGGCATTGTAGAAATAGAAATCCGAAGGCATAAAAATGGACCCGCTCTATACGAAGGGGATAATCAAGAATATGATTAAAGATTTTTCTGTATGGCTTTCATTGAAAAATTGGAGAAATCGTAGATGCCCAAGTTAAGATTGGTAAAATGTGTTAAAGTAAATCTATGTGAGTGTGTGTGTGTGTGTGTGTGTGTGTGTGTATTTAATATTCATTCACTGTATATATAAAATATTCACAATATACCATTAACATACTCACAAAATGCCATTAAATTAAAAGAGCAAGGCCCGGCCAGTGTGACTCAGTGGTTGAGTATCGACCTATGAACCAGGAGGCCATGGTTCGATTCCTGGTCAGGGCACATGCCTGGGTTGTGGGCTCTGACTGACGATTCTTTCTCAACATTGATGTTTCTATCTCTCTCTCCCTCTCCTTTCCTCTCTGAAATCAATAAATATATATTTTTTAAAAAGAGAGCGAGGAACAAAAGTGTCAATTGAGTATAATCCTATTTTTTGTACATGAAGGATTATATATGAATATATGTATAGAAGAAATCTGACATCAAAACCTTAATAGTGGTTATTTCTATATGCTAGGATATTACAGGTAATTTTTATATTCTATGTGTTTACTTGTGCTTTCTAGTTCTCTACAATATATATGTATTTCTTGTGTAACTATGTTTTTGATTAAAAAATGGTCCCCTTGCCCCATGTTCTAATTTTTCCCATTAAACAAATAAATGGAAAGAACCTAAAACACCACTGCTCCTGTTGACATTTAGGCTTGCAAGGTGAAACATGTAACAAATAACTGCTTTTATTTTGGTGCTATTCATTATGCAATCGTGATCATTAACACATCTTCAATGGGCACAATAATCGCTTTATTTTCCATTTCTGTAATCTCTCGCACAAATTTCTGATCTCAGCCATCATGGGTATGTGTTATTATTCTTATTTCTCAGGTGAGACAATAGAGGCTTAGAGATAACAAGTGCTTCTTTTCAACACACGTGCTCCATAACCAGTGTTCTTAGCCTGTGTTCTAGTGCTGCAGACTGCTTGGGCCAATTAGATACACTCACCACCAACCGAATATCTTTTATCTCCCCAATCCCAACGTTGATTTTCTTCTTTTCATTCACAGGCAGCCGGATGTTCAAAAGGTAGTACTTATGAGCCACAGATCCGATTTCCATGAAAGGAAGGACATCACATTCATAGTAACGGCCCTCATGCTCTGGGGTCTGGAAGAACAGAGGTTTTGAGGCAGGGTCAGTATCGCCAATGGACTGTCTGAACTGTCTTACCTTTGCCTCCTAGCACGAATTCTTTTTTAAAAAAATATATATTTTATTGATTTTTTACAAAGAGGAAGGGAGAGGGATAGAGAGAGAGAAACATCGATGAGAGGGAAACATCGACCAGCTGCCTCCTGCACACTCCCTACTGGGGATGTGCCTGCAACCAAGGTACATGCCCTTGACCGGAATCGAACCTGGGACCTTTCAGTCCACAGGCCGACGCTCTATTCACTGAGCCAAACCGGTTAGGGCCCTAGCACGAATTCTTGAAGGTATTCCTAGCTAATGCTTAAAGGTATTCCTTAGAGGTATCGATAATAGGGCACACTGGAGGCATGGTATCTACCGGTTGCCCTTCCTCCCTTCAAAAAACAAACAGCCATTAGCCACATTTGAGGTAGAACCTAAAATGTTAGGTAAAAAGCAAAAATCTCTTCTATGTCCTTTCACTTTTCTCAGCGTTTTAATCCTCATTGGAGCCTCCTATCAGGTTCATCTGGTCTACCAGTACTGCATGCTTTTTATTTGCAGCCTGTCACTGGAGACCTGTAGGGCTCTGTGGAACAGTCAACTTCTTAATGTTCAGGAGGAAGCTCTTGCTGACACGCCGCACAGTCTTAGGTAACGGCTAATTACTTACATGGTTTTGGCCAGCAGGAGAAGCTGCAAGGAGCTGAGAACATCTGTTTTATTGATTTGACAGAAAAAGAAGCAACTCCAGGAACCCTTGAGACTTGGGGAAGACAGAAAGGGATGACAGGTAGTAATGGGATTAGTCTGAGATGCCCAGTTGGAAATTTCTATCTCAAAGCTTCTAAACTGCCCAAGAGGCAAGATGGCAGAGGGAGCAGACATTTTAATTAAACAAAAATTAATCCCAGTTTTTAAAAGAAGCCTCTCACCCTTCCTGCCAAGCAATTGAAGAGTTACTGCCCAGAGCATGGCAGTGGGAGGTTGGAGAGTAGGGGCACGGGTTGTTTTGAAAACTAAATTCTGCTCTCCCGCACCAGGACTCCTGGCTTTGTGTTCCTACCAAGGGGTAGAGGCTTGAGGTAAATATGGCCATGTAGAGGTGTAAGCTTTAGCAGCCAGGGATTTTTTCCTAATAAAAGAGATGCGTGTCTGCCATCAATATTGGGTTTATATGCCAGCTTCCATGTTTTCTGATCAAATGATAGGGAAGACCTAATTTGTTGTTCCCAAGCCTAAATTCTCAGAATTTCTATAATTTTTTATGACTCATCAGAGTAAAAAGTCTAGTGGAAAAATCAGAAGGAAGATAATAAGGAGTCTACAGACTAACTAGTATATTAAGAGTCTTCTGCCCCTTCTGTGATCTTGCGGAGTTCTTTATTGGAGAGTCAGAACTTAGAGTGCAATAAACACAGAACTCTGTAAACAGACCAAAGACACACATGGCAAAGTAGAGGTAGAGCAGGCAAATATCTGGCTTATTTGCTTCCACTCCCTACTCAGAGCAGACATCACTAATCAATCATGATCGTTTTTTATCCTTTAAGGTTTGAGGGGCTCTTATCAGAACTATCAGTTGATTAGACTTGGCTTATGGAATTAAAAAAATTCTTCTGCAGAAAGAATCCTGCTTTTTATCTACACTTCATCTGCAGGCTGGATGATTCTTTCTGTATAGGCTGTCTTTCTCTCCTTCCTGTTCCTTTCTCTCTCTTATACGTACAAATCAGGGCTAGTAGTAGGCCCTTGCAGGAACAACTAAAACCACTATAGGCTCTGATTCAGCCTCAGATTAAGCTGCATTGAGGAGGTTGATGACCCCCTGTGGTAGCGGCAAGGAGGGTTTTCTGATATGTTTCCAATCAGAGTCTTGTTTTATTGAGAGTTTGAGGGGGAAGAGAACATAACTCTATTTAGTCTAATGCCGTGGTCCCAAAAGTAGTAGTATGGGAGTTGAGGGCCTGGGCCTTCCAAGTCCAGCCTTTAGCTCTGATGGGGAAGAGGTTACTTGAGTACAGCAGGAAGAAATGAATGACACTGCGTCAGACATGCCTAAGGACAGGCATTGTGCTGTGATGAGGATGGCAATGACCTGACCTTGCTCCTTGTTGGGAACCTTATGAAGGTCATCCACCTCATTTGGCCTCACTTTCCTCATAAGTAAAACAAGAAGGTAAAATAAGATAATCTACAGGGTTCTAGTCCCCTTTCATTGTTCTCTAGGTGTCCTCCACTTCCCTGTCCCTACAGAGGCTAATGCTACCAACCCATGAGACAAATTTATCTACGTTTCCTTGGCGTTGGGGCTCAGTGGTTGAGCATCAACTTATGAACCAGGAGGTCACAGTTCAATTCCCAGTCAGGGCACATGCCTGGGTTGCAGGCTCAATTCCCAGTAGGGGGTGTGCAGGAGGCAGCTGACTGATGATGTTCTCTCTCATTGATGTTTCTTTCTCTCTATACCTCTCCCTTTCTTTCTCTCTAAAAATCAATAAAAAAAATTTATCTAAGTTAAAGAAACTGGATACACCGGATTCTGGGATCCTCGCCTTGCCTACCTGTCTCAAAGATAAACACTGCATCCTGTTGGGGACTTTTCCGTACACACTGAAGTTCTGCCTCTGCCAGTATTTAGGACATTTAGAAAGACAGACAATCCCCCCTCTCTCTTTACTTTCTCCCATCCCCCTTAGCCCTCCCCCAGCTCCAGCCAACTCCAGCATGAGACTGACTAATTAGGACAAATTACAGCAGGTGGCAACTTGACTTCTTTTTTTTAACTTCGCAAGCCACCAGGGACTAAAACCCTTTACAGCAATTTCTCATTTAATCTTCAGACTCAAAACTAAATTTCACTGCAATCAGAAAGCACAGATTTGATGATTCATTTTCCTTCACACTTTTCAAGGTTTAATATCTTTCTTGAAAGGGATCAACACATCCTAAAGATAATTAAGCAGCCAACACGGAGGAACAGTTGCAGGCTTCTTAATGACTCCCCCTCACTCTGCTTCTCAGTGCCTTGCAAGTGTGTGAGTGAGGTGAGAAATGACTTTTCCCTTTTCTGAGGATGAAATTCCATATCCCGAAGCTTTATAGCCTTTAGATTAGATATCCAACCAGTCTCACCTCTGAAAGACGCAGGCAACTTGCAGCAACAGCTAGAAAGGTTTTAAATAATTTTCTCTGTTGCACACAAAGATCTGAACATGTTAGAGAGTCCCCTCTCCTGCTACCTCCAGTTTCCCTCCACCATTCATTTTTACCCACTGATTGTCCCCTGAGGGCCTCCCCAAACAATTCCAGATGGCTTTATTTTGGTTGCAAGTGGAACTATATTTGGCACTCAGCAAAGGGTCTAGGGCTGTGGTCGGCAAACTGTGGCTCATGAGCCACATGCGGCTCTTTGGCCCCTTGAGTGAAATACCACGTGCGGGCGTGCACATACAGTGCGATTGAAACTTCGTGGCCCATGTGCAGATGTCGGTATTTTGTGGAAGAGCCACACTCAAGGGGCCAAAGAGCCGCGTGTGGCTCTCGAGCCACAGTTTGCCGAGCCACAGTTTGCTGACCACTGGTCTAGGGCAGTGGCTCTCAAATTTTATCAAGCTTAAGAGAAGAAATTGAAATCCTCTTGAAACACAGATTCCTTGCTTCTGCATGCTGAGATTTTGATCCATTAGGTTTTGGGTGTAACCTGGGAATCTGCATTTCCTACAAGCTCTCAGATGATGTGAAGCTGGCAGTCCTCAGATCATGCTTTCTGTAGCTCTAGTCTATGGAACCTGGAAGAGAGACTTAATAAGTGTCAGGTGCCCCAATAGGTGCTTATGCCCATGAGAGTTCTAGTGGCCCATCTGATTAACATCCTCTTTCATTCTCAAATGTGTCTCAGACTACATGTTACATGATAAGGTCATTCTGCTTATGTTCACTATCCCATGTAGTCCTTATAAAGACTCCCATAGCAGGCATTACTATTCCATTTTGCAGAAGGGAAACTGAAGCTCAGACAGAGTAAGTAAGTTTGCCCAAGGTCACGCAGACAGTAAGTGACACAGCCTGGAACTGAAGACACATGTTTTGCTCCAAATCCATGTTTTTAACTAATGTTAATTCTGTGAGCCTGCCCCGTCTTACTCCTCCTCAAGGTAGGACGGACAGGGCAGGGGCATGGTACTCAGAGGCTTCAACCTGCCATTTTACCATTCCACAGGGAATCCCAATGTTATAGTTACCGGCAAAAGCAAAAGGCCAATGCTAGGAGAGGAAAAGAACTAAACCAAACGATGGAGTGGATATTACAAAGCTACCCAAATCCTTCAGGAGCAATTGATCTGGAGATGCCGTGTGACAAATGACATACTCAACAATGTGCTCTCACAAAGTTTGGCCTCTCATCCACTAACACAAAGAAAACGAGACCTTTTCTATACCTGAAGGACCACCAGAGATCACCTATCATTGATGGTGCACCACGTCAGCACCCTTGGGAACTGTGGGTAACCGTGAGTAACAGTAACTATGGCTCCATTTCACCTTCACAGAGACTTTCAAGAGCTGAGGGGTAAGTAAGGGTGAGGGGCCAGAATGTCATGGAGGCATGTGTAAGGGCAGCACTTGGCTTTTATAAAGGGCCTCCAGCTCACTGTGATTTGGTCCTTTAATCATCAAATCCCACTATCCATGGAGGTCATTGAATCAATCTTTGGGCCTTTGCCCCAAAGAAAATGTTTCCATATTTTCAATGCAGGATAGTAATCTCCCTCCCATGGGTGGTTGACTGAGTCCTTCTGGAAGAACCAGAGAAGGGAGTGTCTTAAAGATAGGTTAGAAGACTGAGGTTGTCTTTCTATCTGTGGTCACTGGGATTTTTAGTCTTCATACCTACACATGAACTTTGACAGCAAAGAGAAGCCTAAGAAAAAGAGAAGTAGACTCGGCACTACTCCAGTATCAAGATTCTTATATATCAAAGTAATTTAGCAATGTTCTTCAGACACATTCAGCTATTAACCAAAGAATGAGGAATTTATTTTTATGGAGCTATTTCAGAGAAATAACTAAATCACTTCAGACAGACATTCCTTCTATTCTTTCCTCCTTTGCCGGGATAGGAAATATCTACACAGCCCTTTTCTCTACAAAGACAAAGGATAATGTGGGTTATGCATGCTAAGAAATAAGGAACATATCTGTTAATTGTAAAGCAAATCTTCTCACATAACTGGAAATCAAATATAAACTACAGCCCTGACAGGTTTGGCTCAGTGGATAGAGTGTCGGCCTGCGGACTGAAGGGTCCCAGGTTTGATTCCAGTCAAGGGCATGTACCTTGGTTGCGGGCACATCCCCAGTGTGGGGTGTGCAGGAGGCAGCTGATCGATGTTTCTTTTTCATTGATGTTTCTGACTCTCTATCCCTCTCCCTTCCTCTTTGTAAAAAATCAATAAAATATGTTTAAAAACAAACAAACAAAAAACTCCAACAAATTAGACGTTAAGGAATCCTACCTTGGGGGATGTGAAGATACATTTGAGTTTCCGAGGCACTCTCTCATGGGCCATTTCAGTCCATTCAGCAAACATATCATCACGGTAAGCCAGGGAAACGTCCATGGAAACTTCTGCATTTTCTCCTGCAAGAGAAAGAACTCACAATTCCTAAATGGCTCTGGACACAGCTAAAAAATTCTTATTATAGGCTCTGCTGTGGAAACCAATAAGACAAAAATATCTATATAATAAAAGCCTAAGCGACCCTATGGTGGAACAACCAGAACGACTGGTCGCTATGATGCACATTGACCACCAGGGGGCAGAAGTTCAATGCAGGAGCTGCCCCCTGGTGGTCAGTGTGCTCCCACAGGGGGAGCTCTGCTCAGCCAGAAGCTGGGCTCATGGCTGGTGAGCGCAGCGGTGGTGGCGGAAGAGGATCCCTGAGAGAAACGTGACCAGGTTTTTTAACTCCCCTCAGAGACATGGTTTAAGTACCTTTGGTGCTTTCTTCTGGACATACTCTACTCTAACAGCACCAGCAGCACTAAGGAGCAGCGAGCTAAGCAGTAAGGAGCAGCAAGCAGGCGGGCGGTAAGGATCAAGGGATCCTAGGCTGCGAGAGGGATGTCCGACTGCTGGACATCCCCTAAGGGGTCCTGGACTGTGAGAAGGCGTAGGTCAGGCTGAGGGGCCCTCCACCTCCAGTGCATGAATTTTGTGCACCAGGCCTCTAGTATATAGATATCAGTGCCTATCAAACTCCCAATCTGAAATTCTAAATTTAAAGACTTAAAAGTCATCAGATGAATGTCTAGCTGGATGCTGTGTCCCCTTCTATAACCTCTGTGCAGAGATGGGGGCCTCTCTCTGAGGCAGCTCAGATGGTCATATTCTGACTCATTCAACACTTATCCTCCTATAACTTGCACTACAGGTCCTAGGTCTGCCCATAGGAGTCACACGGAAAATAAGGTACTTCTTCTGCAGAAGTTTGTTAGGCCCTGAAAGCCATACCTCATCTGTCTGTGTTTTCTCTCCTCCCTGAGAGAAACGTGACCAGGTTTTTCAACTCCCCTTAGAGACATGGTTTAAGAACCTTTGGTGCTTTCTTCTGGACATACTCTAGTCTAACAGAACCCTTGTTAACATTATTTGCAATAAGCTCTCAAATATAAGATCTGGCCTGGCCTATGTGGCTCAGTGGTTGAACAGAATGCAACCTATGAACCAGAATTCTTAGTCAGGGCACATCCTGGATTGTAGGGAGCGGCTCTAGAATTAAGCCTCGGATTGACCTGTGGCAGAGCCACAAACAAGTCCCAGCTTAGAGGGCAGAGCCCTCTTAGCATAATTAAGCTTGACCTTATAAGCTCCCTAGATCCTTCCTGGGTAGCTAATGGACTGTGGGAAGTGCAGCAAGTGCTGCCAAAACAAGTGAAACTCACAAGAACATTGTAACTATGTTGACCACTACCTTGTTTTTCTCTGACTATTAAATAAAGCCTCAGATTGCTGGCTGGATCCCTCTCTGTAGCCTCATCCAGGCACAGGAGATCCACAACGCCCCAGCTATATTCTCTTTGTCTGTCTTTAATCCTTTGCCGCCCCCCTCCCCCCCATCAGGTTCACCGAACCCTTGGCTGTGCTGGTACGGCACACTGGGTTACAGGCCTGGTCCCCAATAAGGGGCATGCAGGAGGCAGCCAATCAGTGATTCTCATCATTGATATTTCTCTCTCCCTCTCCTTTCCTCTCTGAAATCTATCTATCTATCTATCTATCTATCTATCTATCTATCTATCTTAGAGGCCTGGTGCATGACATTTGTGCACTGGGGGGGGGGTCACCTCAGCCCAGCCTGTGCCCTCTAGCATTCCAGGACCCCTGGGTGATGTCCGCTGAGGGGTCCTTAGCGCTGCCGTGGAGGCGGGAGAGGCTCCCGCCACAACGCTATGGTCACCAGTCATGAGCCCGGCTTCTGGCTAAGTGGTGCTCCCCCTGTGGGAGCGCACTGACCACCAGGGGCAGCTCCTGCATTGAGCCTTTGCTCCCTGGTGGTCAGTGTGAGTCATAGCAAATGGTCGTTCTGCCGTTCGGTCAATTGCATATTAGCCTTTTATTATATAGGATATATATTATCTGCTACTTCTCTAAAAGGTAAAACCCCTTCTTCATATTATGGACAATGTTAATCCAGAAGATAAAGGGTTTTTCCCCAAAATTAATGACTTATACATAGGTAGGAATACATTAATGAGTACACAATTATGCACAGGAATGTTCACATATTATTCCATATCAGGAAGGACCATGAATAGGTTTAAATCACCTAAGAACTCATTAAGGAGTTTAGATTCATAAAGATTGCATCTATTCATTTGTCTGTTTTATGCTATTTTAAACAAGTTCAAGAACAAAGGGGCTATAATGGGGAATGAATAAAGGACAGACCACATTTCCAAAATGATTGGAGAGCTGGCTCCCACTGGGGTTATGAGACTGCACTCAATTCTAGGCTCTGGAACCTGAACACACACAGGGGATCCGATAAGAATAACTGCTGTCTGGAAACTTAGGGCTTTTCCATCACGGGCCCCGTGTGGCTTGAGGTCGATATGATAGTGCCATAAATCCCCGCTTCTCTGAAAATATCCAGAAAGGGAAAGAAATGATGCACAAAAGAAGGGATCTGAGGCCATTCTAATGTAGATGAAACCCTCCATGAACATCGGATCTGCTACTTTATTAGTATTTAAATCTAGTCAAACATGGTGAATTGGCTACTTGTCTTCCTCCTCTTTCTCCTGAAATTCCACACACTACAGTACACACACACACACACACACACACACACACACACACACACCAGAAAAGAAAACCAAAGACTATTGAATCACAAGGGGAAACTGTAGATAAATGAGTGGGCCAGAGGTCTCAACTAATTTCTTACAGATGAAAAATAGATAAAGTAGGGTTTCCTGACAGCCATAGAGACAGGCACAGCCTAAACTGCCACAGAAGGAGTATTGGCAAAGTGAGCAAACATGCCCAATAGACACCCCCCCCCCCACCGCCCCGGGCACTTTGAACTTGAAAGCACCAGATGTTGCAGAAGACAGAGATGAGGCCTGGTGCCAACAACAGGGTGAGTGGGTCAGTCTGTACATAGAATCATTGGGCTCCCCAGTTCCCTTATATCTTCCCATCACCATCACCACACAGTCTGAGGGGAGACTCTGGCCTTGGGGATACCAGGCAATACAGAGACCCAGGGCTGAAAATGGGGAAGAGTCTGTAGGAGGAACTGTGGGGTGCCCAGCTGGGCAGAAACAATGCTTGACCATTGTTTTTCCTCTAGGTTAGGGGCAAGGCTGGCTGCAACTGCTCCCTACTGGGCAGCCTTAGTGGTCAATAGAAAGAATTGGCCAGAGCTTTAGTGCTAGGCACCAAGGGATATCTTTTTTATTTCTAACTGGGATTAGAAATTAGGGCTTTCAATCTGTTGAAAGGGCACTTCTGGAACCATATAGGTCAAGAATACAAATCTGAAAAGCTGTAAAAGAAGCTGTCAATTCAGGATTTGGGCTCCTTGGAGCACTAGGGTTCAGCGCAGCACTAGCCTTAGCCACAAGTAGGAGGGGACCTTTTCCAGCTGTTCCCTTCCTCAGAGGATGAGAAAATCTTAGAGAAGGGTATGTGCCCAACCAGAGTCCAACTCCTCCCCTAATTTCTAGAGCATACGCCAGGAGCCTGGGACCCCAGAATATCCTACTCAAACTGCCCTGAGCCACTTCCACAGCCTGGGGTGGGGGTCGGGGTGGGGTGGGGGCTCTTCCCTAGATCTGGCCTCCCAAGGGGAACTCACTGCACAAGCATACATGTACCCCTGGACTCAAGGGTGGTCAAAGGCTGGGGTCTGTAAGAGGCTATGAACAGAGAGTGGGCGTGGAGGTTGGGGTATCCACACAAAGCACACAAGGCCCCTTTCTGCACAGGATGGATCCAGGGGTGGGGACAAAAGGCGTCCAGGGGCCCACACTCCCTGGTCAGTCACATTTTGGCACAGAATTCTAAGGAGTCCAAGAATCCTAAATTCAAACCTGGCCTTCCGGTCCATTATGCAGGCAAATTTGTTTCAATTAGATGATAGACCTTATTTATCTTAACAATTTGTTGGCCTTACTTATCACTTTTAAATATTTAGACATATGGCAGCCATACCTTCATAGGTACTCTTGCCCTGGGCCCCACAAATATTAGGGATGGGCCTGGTTCAGAACAGGGGCCTCAGAGAGAGAAAGAAGCCAGACAGGTTTGCCTCCTGGCCTGCTCCCAGCTCTGAGTTCATCCCATCTGCTGGGAATCCCCAAACCGTTTTAACATATGCTGCTAAAAACAAAAGTTTAAAACACTGTGTTCATGTACAACTTCTCTGTATGAAGCCCTGTGACTTCCCCTGCTTTCATTTAATTTTTCCAACAACTCTATTAAATGAGCATGGGTATTTCCTTTGATTAGGAAATAAACTAAGGTCCTCAGATATTAAGTAACTTAAAGTCATATTGTTGTTGGTAACAGGAGAGTGACAATTTCTTTTGAAATTGTCTTAAAAGACAATCATCATTTTGTGTGGTTTTTAAATAGATTTTTATTAATTTCAGAGAGGAAGGGAGAGGGAGAGAGAGATACAAACACCAATGATGAGGGAGAATCATTGATCAACTGCCTCCTGCATGCCCCACACTGGGGATCGAGCCTGCAATCCAGGCATGTGCCCCAACTGGAATCGAACCACGGCCTCCTGGTTCATAGGACGATGCTAAACCACTGAGCCATGCCAGCTGGGCAACAATCATCTTTTTTGTATTGCTTAAAGAAAACTGTCTAACTGATGAAAGAAGCCCCTCAAACTAGTCACAAAATATGAATATGTAAGTCTTTAATAAAAACTCACAGCCATCCTAGGAAGAAGTTATATAAATTGCCCAAGAATACCAAGAGTACATAGTAATACATTGCAGTAATAGCAATACCATGGCAGAGGTGGGATGTAAGCCTTGGTCTGGATCAGCCCAAAGTCCCCCTACCCTCTACCACCTTTTTGGTAGAAACTAGTAAACTTCAAAAAAACACAACAGTT